AGCCGCCTTTGTATTTTCTTGACAGTGTCTATCAAAGAACACAAGTTTTCAATTTTGAAAGGTCTGATTTATCAATCTTTTTCTCTTATGATGTACGCAGTTTATGTCCTATGAAACTTTTGCAAACTCTAACACAGCAAAGATCTTTCTCCTAGGTTTTTAAAGAAATTTGATAGTTTTAGCTTTTACATTTTGAGTTAATTTTTATGCATAATGTGAGGCGAGGATAGTGGCTCACTTTTTTCCCCATACCAATATGCAGTTTCCTCAGCACCATTCCCTGAAGCATCGTCCTTTCCGCCATTGAATCACGTTGGCAATTTTGTCTCAAAATAAGTAAATAAAAATAAATGTTCTACCAAAAAAAGATACTCCTTTCAATGAGAAAGTCAATGGAATCTTACTCCTACCTCATACTCTACATAAAATTAATTCAAATGTATCACAGAACTAAATATGAACCGTAAAGGTTAAAACAAACTTCTAGAGCAAAACACAGGAGACTATCTTAATCAATGTTGGATTAACAACAATTTCTTGAACAGGATGCAGAAAACGCAAACCACAGTTCTCACAAATAGATAAGGAAAGCAAACAACCCAATGAAAAAACGGAGCAGATGGAAAGCGTTCAACAGCATTCCCGAACCCACTTGCTACGAAAACCTGTTCCTTTGCCTACGTGCTTATTTGCCCAGCTGAATATCTGCTTGTTTTTCCCTTTGGGTAACAGGAACTTCCCCAAAGAAGAAATTCAAGTGGCAAATAAGCCTGTGAAATGGTGCTCAGTATCATTGCTCTTTGGGGAAACGCAGTTTAGAACCCCAGTGAGGTACCACTACACACCCACCAGCATGGCTAAAGTTAAAGAGACTGGTGATATTAAGTTCGGGCAGGACGTAGGGCAACCAGAACTCGCTTCTCCAGCTGGCGAGGAGGCAGGTGGACACATCTGCTTTGTAAAGCTGCGTGGCTGTTTCTCAGCACGCACGTGCCCTGCAACCCAACAGCCCACCCTAGATGCCCTGACAGAGGTGCACATGCAGGCGCTACGAGACACATACGGGGTGTCCCAGCAGCGTCACAACAGCAAAGCAGTCGAAAACCTCCCAGTGCACATCAAGGGAGAAATGGATGGACGGACTACTGCACACTACTGCGCACGTGTGCTTGTCCAGTAGAACGCAGCACAGAGATGACAGTAAACTGGCAGAAGCACAGGCGGCGACACGGAGAGCTTTACAAACATAATTTGGAGCAAAAGAAACCAGACGGGACAGAGCTCGTGTTATACACCTATTTATATGAGGCTCAAAAACAGGCACTCAACAGTGAGCATGGCAGGGGGCCAAGTGCTTCTGAGGTTCTGAGAATGTTCTAGAACAGGCTTTGTGCACACGGGGCCAGATGGCTGCGTGTTGTGGATGCTGGCTGGGCAGCATGGCCTTCCTGGCCTCTGTCCACTAGGTGCCAGGAGCACGATTCCCCCAACCCCCATCACAGTCATGAGAACCAAAAGTGTCTCCAGACACTGTCAAATGTCCCCCAGGTAGAGGGATGCCAAATCCCGCTGGCTGCAGACCACTGCTGCATTGCTGGCCGGGAGAAATTCAGGCTGTGTGCTCACTTTACGGAAAAAAAAAAAATTTTTTTTTGAGACAAAGTCTTGCTATGTGGCCCTTTTTAGAGTGATGTACTGTCACAGCTCACAGCAAAATCAGACTATTAGGCTTAAGGGATTCTATTGCCCTGGCGTCCCAGGTAGCTGGGACTACAGGCTCCTGCCACAATGCCCAGCTATTTTTTGTTATTGTTTTTGTTGTTATTGTTGTCATTGTTGTTTAGCAGGCCCAGGCCAGATTCAAACCCACCAGCCCCAGTGCATGTGGCCCGTGCCCTAACCACCGAGCTATGGGCACTGAGGCTTTATGGAAATTTTTTGAGCTGTAGACTTAAGATTCAACTTTTCTGTACACATATTAAACTTTAAAAGTTTTTAAGATCTAAAAATAACCAACAAATAACTAAATGAGCCAGAAAGCTTTCAAGCACACGGGACAGTAGACAGGTGGCTCCTTGCTCATTGGCTACGGAGTTCGGTTTGCTCTGAGCAGCCACCCTGACTTCTGCTCCCGCTTCCTCCCCTGCACTCTCAGGCGCTCTGTCTCTGTGTAGACGCTGCTCCCACTCAGCTCTGTGTAGACGCTGCTCCCACTCAGCGGCTCGGTTGGACCCTGTCAAGGAAACAGGTTGGGAGGCAATGCACCCAGCACCCAGCAAAGAGAGTTCTGAAAACCAACATCTCCTGCAAACAGGATATTAGCTTTGTCATAAAGATCAAAAAGGGCTTGAGGTTTCTCCTCACAGCCTCAGCCTTGCCACTCTGCCCTCGCTTCACCTGCTGCCTGAGGCTGCAGACCCGCCTCTCCCGCCCCTCGAGCCCTGGCAGGAAGAGATGGCAGCGGGGGAGACGCATCTCTACGCCAAGGTCTCCAACAAGCTCAAGGGCCGCAGCACCCCCTCGCTCCTGGACCCCCTCCTGGCCATGGGCTTCCCAGCGCATACCGCGTGAGTACCGCATGAGACTCCCAGCCCAGCCCTCCCGAGGCCCCTGCCACAAGTTGCAGGGTCTTCGGGGGCCGCTTCCTGTTCAGTGGTGTCTTGCAGTGACAGGCAGTCTCAACAGGCCTCCTGTGCTCTTTGTAAAAGAGATGACCTTGACCTTTGAAGATGAATGCTGCTGGCTGATGGGGGACCTTGAAATTTGTGGAAATTAGAAGCCATGTGTCACTAAGTTACCCCTACCCTTTCTTGGAGTTTGGAGGAGGTTGGGGCCTGGTTGTAACCTCTCAGTGTGTACCTCGGGGACTCTGAAGGTGACATGGCAAGGTTCTCCAATCCCTGATGGGAGAGGCCTGCAGCCTACTGAGTCTGCGACACTGAGGCCTGCTGGGAGAACGGTCAGCAAGGCTGTGTCTCCAAACCTCCGTCCGCCCGTAGGGAGAATCTCTTGAATGTTCACAATGGAGCACTGTGGTTAAGAAGCTCCGAGACAGTGGCAGCGCCATCCTACCCACCCCGGAGAGGGAAGACACGACACAGACACTGGGTTTCTTAGATGGGGTCCTTTGCGGGTGTTTGTTCACATGGAAAAATGTATCAGAAACACGCTGTGAGTAACCTCGGGTTTGGGAGGGAGCAGAAACTCTCCTTCAGCGCTAGAACAAATCCTCGACCAAACTGGGTGATAGCGCTTTGCAGCCAGGCCCCCTTCCTCTCCTCCCAAATCAGGGCTGTGAAGCGGAGCTGAGTGAGGTCACTCACACCTGCACCCAGAGAATTACTCACCTCCCAGCTACAGGCAGGACACTGGGCCGGGGGGAGCTGGCACACGGCCCCAGGGGCCTCTAAAGGAGCCACACTGTACTTTATGGCTCGAACTATAGAGTAGACTCATGCCCAAAATTCCTTCCAGTTTAAACATTAAACACATGTTCGGGATGTTTTAAATTTCTCACTTATTCTGAAGCACCTCCAAGTAAGGCTCCACGCCAAGGCCTCCCAGTCAAAAGCTACTACCACCCCACCGGTACCCACCAAAATAGTGCCACTGGCAGCACCTGTGGGCCCCTCCTGGGTGCCCACTATTTGCAGCCTGCACTCCTGATAAACCGTCACAGCTATATCTATTCTCTTCCCGTTTAGTCCAGTTCAGCTAAATTCAGTTTGATGAGCACACACCCTGGGTACCCTGATGAATAAAACCCCAGCCATCAATCAGGGACCTCGAGGTCTAATGGGGAGACATGTGGTACAGGTGCACTGTGATGGGCGCTGTACACGGGGAACACGGGACGCTGTACACGGGGAACACGGGAGGGCAGCAGCCCAGCCTGCCTGGGCTGTCTAAGGAGGGGTGTGTCTCAGAGGAGGGGGCATGTTGGGCTGAGCCTAAAGGATCAGTGCCTTTTGGCCAAGGGATGTTGGGGCTGGACTGGGTTTGTCAGGGAAGTGTATGCCCAAGCCAGGGACACAATCCTTAAAGCCACTTCTAAGAGCCATGGGGCAGTCTGGTTTACTCTAGTGCAGTGTGGGGGGAAAGTGGGGAGACGGGTTGGAGGAGTGGACAGAGGTCAGGGAGAGTAAGGAAAAGAAAGTGAGCCTGGAGACCGACAGGTCAGCATTGTCCAAAGCCCCAGGGATGGCCCCACAGAGCAGGGGACCTGGGCACGAGACCTCCAGGCAGGACGTCCTATGGTCAGGTCCTTGTTGGGAGCTCACCCCAAAGGTCTGGTGTGTATGAGGCCATACCCTACTTCTCGCACCCTTTCTCCAAAGCATGCAGAGCCTACTCTGAGCGCTTCTGTCTGCATCTCTCCAGGCTGAAGGCGTTGGCGGCCACTGGCAGGAAGACAGCAGAGGAGGCCTGGGACTGGTGAGTGCAGCTGGCTCTGCAGGCCTGGAGGGGTTTGCATGGAGCTGCCCTGTGCCCGAGACTCCTTCTCTCCAGGGTGGATGCTGGGAAGTACCCCGGACCCTGCGGGTAGGATGGGGGCCTCTGTAACAGTGAACAAACTAGCCTCCACCCTACTCAGCCTTCATGCAAAGTGGAAAAAGAGAAAGAACTTGGAACAAAGCTTTTCTCACTTAAAAATTTCAATCCAAATTTGACTGTCAAAGAAGAAAAAAACGTATGTGGTTTGTTGAATAAACATGGAGGCACCATTTCTGCTGCTGTAAAGCAGAGGCTGCTCTCAGCTCTCAGCTCTCGCTGATGGGGAGAATCGCCGGTGGTTGTGACTCCCCCCAGGGTGCAGGAGGTTGGAGCAGGGTCTCAGCCACAAGCCACCTGCTGCCACAGGCAACAGTTTTCTACTCTGGAGATTGAGGGGGGACCCCTGTTCTCTAAAGCCCTAGCTGGCCTGGGTGTGCCATGATGCCACCATTCTGTTCCCAGTGAAAATCCGACAGACATGTGTACCAGGGGCTGGCTCACCCCCGCCAAAGCAGGGCGTCAAATACTGAGAGGAGTTTTCTCCAAATTGTTCTCGGGGAATCCCCTTCCTCCTCCAGAAACTCTAGGCTGAGGGCAAAACACATACCCTTTCACATGTATAAAGGGAAACACCCAGAACTCTGGGGCAAGTCTAACTCTAAAGCCAGTTGCCAAGTTTTTTGTTTTTTTAGACATAGGATTTTACTCTGTCACCCAAGCTGGAGGTCAGTGGTGTAAACAGTTCACTACAACCTCCAACTCCTGGCCACCATGTCTGGCTAATTTTTCTTCTTTATTTTATAGAGATGAGGTCTCACTATGTTGCTCAGGTTAGTCTCAAACTCCTGAGCTCAAGGGATCCTCCCGTCTCAGCCTCCCAAAGTGCTGAGATTGCAAGTGTGACACTGTACCCGGCCCAGTTACCAATTTTAATTAAAAACCAAGCCCACTGCTGTGAGAGTGTGGTCAGTTACAACTCAGCCAGTAGGACTAGGAGACCCTCCAAGAAACGGGGAGACAACAGGGTGCCCCAGACTCAGCCAAGAGCAGGCAGACTCTCACTAGTGATCAGCAAAGTGCTAGTTAGGACACCACTAAAACAGAAAAATCAGCCTCCAGTGATGCTGGGGAGTGGAGGGGCAGTCTCACGGCCCCCGGGGAAGGCAGTCTGGGGTGTCTGTCCAGCCTTGACAGTGGGCAGGGCTGACCACCCTGCACTTCTGCCTCTAAGCACATTGCCTGGAGAAACCCCAAAAGGCCTAAAAAGACATGTACAAAGATCTTGATTACGGGGTTATGTAATTTTTAAAAAATAAAATTTAAATGTGCATCAAAGTAGGAATAAATAAGTACAATATTAGGACTATTAGGTGGCCTTTCAAAGATTCTCATTGACAGACAGATGTGTCCACTTTATTGGGGATAAGTGACAGAAACACCGTGGGGTGAAAATACAAACTGCCCAATAATTTGAACGACAGCTTAGGATTTATATAAAACAAGTGCTCTCTATAGATTGGTTGCTTCAAAGCAAAGCAAACCCACAGCTGGGGTCAACTCTTAGAAAGAGGGGGAAGGGAAACGAGAGGTGACAGGGAATAGCTTCCTCTACTTTTATTTTATTGTACCAAGGTCGTATTAAGGAGGCGTTCATAGTAATGAATGTTTTCCAAGTGACCACATACCACCTCCTAAACCCAAAATTCTATCATCAGGCGGTGCCTGGGGCTCAAAGGAGTAGGTCGCTGGCCCCATATACCAGAGGTGGTAGGTTCAAACCTGGCCCCGGCCCCCCACAAAAAAACTCTGCAAAATTCTATCATCACGACCACTTCCCCAAATCAGTAGCAATTTTTCAAAGCCATAATTTCTATCAAATATGTGATAGATTTACTATCATTTATCTAGTTTTTCTTCTTTCCTTTTATAGGTAATCCTACAATAAATATTTCTTCTGTAAAGTTTGGGCTATATAGTATTTTTGCTCTTTCCTTGGGGCAAATTTCTAGAAGTCGCATTATTAGTTGAAAAGCTGTGGATATTTTAAGGCTCTTAATAGGTATCAATAAATTGGTCCTGAAGTTACAGCTGCACCTTTGACACAGTTGAGTGTAACTTTTATCCTTTAAAAAAAGTCGTTGTTAATTTGACGGTTGAGAAGAATGACATCCCGGTGGCCTCCACTCGCTTCATTATTAGTGAGATTGAGCTCCTACGTTGGGTCCTGCATCATTTTTGTTTAATTTAAAATAACTTACGGAATCGAAAGAAAATACAGTAGCTGCCTGAATTTTTTCCAGTTTTTGGTAATTTCGATATTTTATATTCAATTTGAAACTTGAGGTAACATAAACATTTGAGTATTTCTGCAAAATTTTTCAACACCAAGGAGATGCTTGGACCACAGAATCATTTGAGGACTAGGCTTTGAGTCTTCCTGTAAATTTTCTTTCATTTTCTCCATCTTTGGCTTTGGAATCAGACTAACATGGGTCTGAGAGCAGGGTGGACAGGGGCACAGGTCCGGGGCACACATGGCTCTGCTCGTGGCACATCTGAGCCATGGCCAGCTGGAGCGTTGCTGGAGCGTTTTTCTGCATAATGCCCATGTGCGTTACATGCTCAGCACGGCCCGTGAATTCCCATTGCTGTCATGGCTATTGTCTGTCATCAACAGGAGAAATATCTTTCTGTTGTGACACCAGGTGAAGTGGCCTCTTCTCTCTTGCAGGCTACATTGTCATCGAAATGACCCGTCCCTAGATGACCCCATCCCCCAGGAGTACGGTCTTTTCCTCTGTCCCACGGGGCCCCTGCTGGAAAAACTTGAGGAGTTCTGGAGGGAAAGCAAGCGTCAGTGTGCAAAGAACAGAGCTCACGAGGTCTTCCCCCACGTGACGCTATGCGACTTCTTCACCGTGAGTCGGCCCTAGGGGCCTTTAGTGCTAAGCATCACGGCAGATGGCCTTTATGACCAGGACAAAACTGACTATTTTAATGGGACGAGGTGCACAAGGGGTGTCTGTGCCTGTCACACCTAGCAGTCAGTCCGGGCAGTGACACCCCCGTCTAGGTGACACGTCGTGACTGACACTTTGGGAGGGAAGACAGGGAGGAGGGTCTGGTTTGAGTCAGGTCAGACCCTCCAAGGAGCAGACCCCAAATGTAAGAGCAAGAGATTTACTGGGAAGATGCCTGTGAAGGATAAAAGGGAAAGAAAGGAACCAGCTGGGGCCGGGGGGCAGGGCGGGGGGCGGGGGACAGGGCTGGGGGGGACAGGGTCTTGCCCACAGTGCTGCACTTGCAGAAGACCACCTTCCTGGAGTCCCAGGTGGAGCGGTGACCTCTCCTGTCCCCATGTGCCCAGCTATCCCTGAGTGGCTGACTCAGAGCCTGCAGGAAACTCTTAGAAGCCGAATCATGCAGCCCTGAGCAAAGCTGTGGGCAGCAGGATGGCCAGAAAAATCGGCCAGAAAAATATGGGCTCAGGGCAGGTGCGAGGCTATGCCAACAGGACATGAGGCAGGGGCATGTCCCCCCTAACAGCCAGGGGACAGGGGGATTTCCAACCCAGCACTTAAAGGAGATTCCATTCCAAAAAGCATTCCAATTGAAATATTGAAAACATCAAGGTCCAGTGTAAATAAATCCATAACCTCAAATACACAGAGACTAGATACATTGTCGTAACTCTGGGATTGCTGTGTGGTTTGTTCTAATTAAAACCTGACCCTTCTCTGCCTCTCCCCCTCAGTGTGAAGACCAGAAAGTGGAGAGCTTGTACGAGGCCCTGAAGAGGGCTGGAGACAGGACCCTGGGCTCCTTCCCCGCTGTGGTCCCCCTGGTCCTCCACTCCTCCATCAGCTACCTCGGCTTCTTCCTCAACGGCAGCCCCGCAGAGGTCATCCGGGAATTTGCTGTCACCTTTGCCACAGAAGCTTCCGTCTTGGCAGGTAGGCATCCCCCGCCAGCCGCAAACGCAGGGCCAGGCTGACAGCATCTGAGCCCCAGGCCTCACGGGCTTCACGGCTGGCCTAGAGTCCAGATCTAACACTCAGACATCTGGTGGGACGTCCTCCTGGACTCAGGGGCTGCACCTGTCCTCACCCAGGCCACTCCATCCTCCACTTCTTGATTTTCAGCCAGGCACAGTGATGTGGCCTTAACCAGAGACTGAACCATTGAACCAGGGCCGCCTTACCGAGCTACCGTGTCCTGTAGGCACAGGGAAAGCTTCAGACCCACAGTGGTCTTCTCTTTAAGTGGGAATGGCCTTGTTTGCAGGGATGCTTCACTCTATGCCAGCGGCCTGCACACTGTGCAGAGGGTGCCCCGAGACCAGCAAGGCAGGGGGGCATAGCCACGTGATGACAAGCACCCAGGGTCAGGGCCTGCCCCTCCTTCCCCCTCGCTTTAGAGAAAACGCAAGCCCTACCTGACTCATTTCACTTTTCCTGTATGACCTCACTCTTCTGTCCTTGGCCTCTCAGGGAAAGATTCTCTAGACTCACTTTGAGAATCGGATAATTTCTCTTTTTCCCAGACCAGCCCAGGTCTGGAGACCAAGGCTTCTGTGGAAGCCAAGTGGAAAGAATTGACATCGAATGTACATTTTTCTGCCTCCCTGGTCAGTGCTGTGACCTAATCAAGTCACTTCAGCCCCGTACCTGTTTCCTTCCTCTGTGAGGCGGCCAGGGCTCTCACACTTCACACAGCCGAGCTGCCTGGCACAGAGCCCCCAGGGCACAGGAGAAGCTCAATGTTGCCGTGATCAGCTGACTCGGGCCTTGAAGGAGCCACTGAGCTCTGGTGGGAGGACTGCTCCCACCTCTTCCAGAGGGAATGTTCTCTGCGTCCTCATCCTCACATGTGTTGGAGAGCAGGTCCTGGCCCATAAGTAGCTCTGTAACCCCTGGGTTTCCATTTGGACACTGGCTTGGGAGGCTGGGAGTAATATTTGCTAGATAATTATAACCTAGGCCCTTGTGGACCAGTCTCCTTTATCAACGATGGAAATTTAACGTCCTTTCCTCGGCCTGGTTCATATCTTGATGTGATTGTCCAGTCACTTGCTTCAGGGCAGACTTGGGGTGTCACTCTTCCTGCCACTCTCAGGTGGGTCCCACCTTAAAAATGGGGAGATTGAGGCAGCCAAGGGTAAGATGCCTGCCCAGGGTTGCTGTGCTGGGCTGAGCAGTGTCCCCCAGGAGCCTCAAGGGTGACCACATTTGGAAATAATGTCTTTGCAGGTGTAATTTGTTTAAGTGAAGCCACACCGGATTACAGTAGGCCCTAAGTGCAGTGGCTGGTGTCCTCATAAGATGAGAGACACATGGGAGAAGGCTGCGTGCCACAGAGGCGGAGACCACAGTGATGCTGGCTCCAGCCACGGGGCGCCTGGGCCCCGGTAAGCTGAGAGGCAGGAAGGGGCCTCCCCTGGAGCCTCTGGGGAGAGTGAGCCCTGCAGGCACCCTGGTTTGGGGGCTTCTGGCTCTAGAACTTCAGAAGATCCATTTCTGCTGTTTTAAGCCATCAGCGTAGGGGGCGGGGGTTGTTTCGGCAGTCCCAGGAAGCCCACACAGTCCCCCACCCACTGTAGGAGACCTGGTTTCATCTTGCTCCACACTGCCGGGTTTCCTGTGGGTGGAGATGCCCCTGTCCTGGTGGGCAGCTTCAACCTCACATCAACATCCTGACCCTGGCCAGGCTCCACTCTGCCCTTCCGTGGCCTGTGCCCTTGGCTTGACTCGGGGAGAGTAGGAGGGTCCCCCTCAGTGATGAGTGACCAGTCACAGCTCCACAGTGTCCCGGGTCCCTTTTAGGGCAAGTATGTAAGGTGTCCTGTCCTCACCTGTCCTCCTCAGTGAAACACCCCCAGGGCATGAGTCACAGAGACAAGAGAAGACAAGGGCCCATTGAGAACGTGTCACTCACTCCGATGCCACTCGGATGACAACCTGAAGTGGGCCTCTCCCAGGCCTTGCTCACTCATGTGGCAAGACTGTCCTCCCCCACTGCCAAAACGTTCAGAAAAGGAATTTCCCAGCACCCACACACTCCCCGCACTGGGTACTCAGCTCAGGCTGGCTTTGAGACCTTATAGCTTTGCTACTGAAGTGTCACCCCAGTGCAAGAGACATGGTGGCGGGGGGGGGGGGCGGGGCTGAGGTCCCCGGGAAAAGCCTGAATGGTCCCTGGTGTGTCTTAGGGGAGGACAGATCCTCCTTACCTGAGAATGGCCTTGCCATGAAGAGAGGCAGGGAACCAATGTGCACCAGGGACAGTGTCTCCAGCAGGAAGCTGCCACCAGGGGACTAAGTTCCCTTCACAGCCCAGCAGGCAGTTGTCACTGTTCTCAGTCAATGCTGCCAAAATAAAAGCCAGGTCAGGCCAAGATGTGGGGCCAAGGTCACTCTGTGAAGGGTCAGAACGGGGTCCAAAGCCAGGTCTATCTGTGCTGTTCCCGTCACGACACCAACCATCTTCCCAGAACACAAAACACTGTGTGGCCAGCTGAAATCAGATCCTGGCTGCTGTCGTGACGATAGCCACTCTGGTCCTGACCTGAGACTCCTGCAGGGAGGAACAGGAGAGGGCAGGGGCCACAGGGGCAGAGGTTACCCCAAAGACCTGGATCTCAGCCACTCCTAGGGCTTCCTGCTTGACCCAAGCAAGGCAGGCCTTAAAGGTGCTGTGTGTTTTCTGCTTTGGGGGACTCTACAATTGAACAAAAACCCATTGACCTGGAGCTCGGGCCTGGGAGTCCCGGCGGCTGAGAACTGTGCACACACCAGGGAACGGGGAAGGGCTTTACTCCTTACATTTTAATCACTTGTTTGGGCAGCCAGCTTGCAAACTAAAAGGCTCCAAAGTCCGCCCCCTCTCCAAGCCCACCTCTTTTCCACTTCCAGGAGAAATGTCTGGGTGTCCAGCCACCTCCCTCATAATGTGAACTCTGAGGAGAAAAAGAGGGGGAGGCGGGGGCACCGTATGTGGGTGTCCCTGCCGCCCAGCCTGGCATGTAGCGCCATTTAGGTATGAGTGCCACCATGTCCCTTTGTCGCCTGTCCCCACAGACTGCACAGTGAAGCCCTGCACCAAGCAGCTCCATCTGACCCTGGCCCACAAGTTCTACCCGCACCACCAGAGGACGCTGGAGCAGCTGGCCAGAGCCATCCACCCTGGCCACAGCTGCCAGTGGACGGCCACGCTCTACTCCCGGGACATGCGCTTTGTGCACTACCAGGTGAGAAAGCACCTGGGCTCAGCCAGGGACACACTGCAGGGGCCACAGCGGACTCTCTCCACAGAACTGAACAGATGAATGGCCACCAGCAGACAGCACTTACCCCAGGAGCCCTCCAGCGGAGGCGTTCAGTAGAAAGACTGTTTGGTTTCTGGTACGATTTGGAACTAGCATTATTTTATATGAGTGCAGATGCACATACACTTTGAGACAAAATAGAAGCACTTCTGATATTAGAAAAGGACTATTATGAAAACATGTGAACGTACATTTTGCTTATTAATTCGTGTCACACAATGATTTGAGTGAAGCCGCATCTGAGGACTGCCCTCCCTGTGAATTGACGGCTTCAGAGCAGTGATTTTCAACAGGTGTGCTTTGAAAATTGTTAAAGATCTTTTTTTAACTTTTTTTTTATCAACATAATTTAAGTGGGCTGGAGAAGTTTAACTATAAGTTCAAGTGTGCTGGGAGAGAAAAAAGGTTGAAAAATCACCAGTTTAGAGGGCAAGCACGTGACGCTCCTTCCACACCCGGGGAGTAAGATGAATGAACCCAGCACGTCCCGCGCCCTAAGAGAGGCTACGAAGAGCCTCACACCAAGGCAGGTGGAGGCGAATGCCTGGTTATGCTTTAAGATCTTTCATATACAAGATAAGTAAACAGCTGGATGGGGACTAGATAGATGCCAAGCTGTACTATTTCTAAATCTATCCAAAGAGCTCTGTGCTGAATTGTGTACGTAAGGCTCGCAGTCTGTCCTGGAGGCAGAGAACACATCAAGGGAGCCAGCAAGCGGGAGGCAGCACGTCACAGGCCTCCTGCTGCTGCTTCTGACGCGAATCCTTACGTGAAGCCACCTGCCTCTTTTCCAGACCCTGAGGGCCATTTTCCAGTACAAACCCCAGAATGTGGACGAGCTGACGCTAAGTCCGGGTGACTACATCTTTGTGGATCCCACTCAGCAGGAGGAAGCCAGCGAGGGCTGGGTGATCGGGGTCTCCCAGCGGACGGGCCTCCGAGGCTTCCTGCCGGAAAACTACACAGAACGAGCCGGCGAGGCTGACACCTGGGTGAAGCACAGGTGAGGTCCGGCAGCTGTACTCTGTCCTGGCTCCCTGCTTTGGTGTGCTCACAGCATCTTCGTGCCCCTACGTCACTTCATCATTGCTAAAATTCCCTTCCCCACGGGGGCAGAATTACCCTGCAGGTACAAAGCAAATATCTTGGGTGACTTGTGGCTTTCCGCTGGTAGGTCACGTTCAGAAAACATGAATTGTTCTGTGCCGCTTTTCTGAGATGGCAATCCCAAAATACCGCTCCCTACGGTTACATTATATTCAGAGGTCTCGAGGGCTCCTTTATTCTTCTGCCCCGTGTATGAATGGTACAGCCCTAAGGGCATTAGTAGTTTTCTACTGCTGTGTGACAGATTGCCACAAAACAACAGCTAAAACAAAAATACATTGATTTTATTATTTCATTGTTTTTGTGGTTCAGGAGAGAGAGTATGGTTTAACAGAGCCCTCTGTGGGGTTCGTCCGGCTGTCATCAGGTGCTGGCCTGGGCTGGGGTCGGGTGGAGGCTCAGGGTCCTGCCCTGAGCTCACGTGGCTGTCCGTGGCACTTACCTCCTTGAAGTCGTGGGACTCCTGGTGGTGGGTTTCTTCATGCTCAGCTGGAGACTTTAGTGTCGCCTGATGAGGCAAAGGCTTTTCAGAGTCATCAGGTGCTGGCTCCTTTTTGTTGGATGGTTCGTCTTTCAATCTGTCCATCTACTCTCCCATTTTCACCGTAACTAGCAAAAAAAAGCGGGTGATACACTTTTTTAATTTTTTATGCTTGATTATTATGATACAGCCCTACAATGTTAATTAATTACATCAGGGTAATTAGAGTATTTATTCATCACCACGGGACTTGATCACAGCTTTGTTAGGAACATTCCAGTCCACTCTTTTTATTTAAAGTACACCCCAATGTATTGTTGATTACAGTCACTTCGTTGTGCTCTCAAATACTGTTCATTCTGTCTGACTATCTAACTATATTTTTTGCGCCCATTAACCACCCCACTTTATCCCCCACCCCTGCCCTCTCGGGCCTCTGGGAGCCGCCATCTGCTCTCTGTGTCCGTGAGATCGATGGTTTTAATGTTCGGCTCCCACCTGTGAGTGAGAATGTGCTTATCTGTCTTTCTGGGCTTGGCTCATGTCGCTTATGTGCTCCAGTTCCACCCCTGTTGTTGCAGAGGGCAGCCTTCCCTTCTTCTCCGTGGCTGTATGATATTCCATCGTGTACACGTTCCATTCATCCATGGTCAGGCACTTGTGTTGATTCTAAATCTTGGCTGTCGTGAACAGAGCTTCAGTAAACAGGGGAGCCAGACATCGTTTTGATATACTGAATCCCCTCCTTCAGACATATACCCAGGTGGGGTTGCTGGGTCACATGGGACCTCTATTTTTAGGTTTTTCGGGTACCCCCATACTGTTCTCTTAGTGGTTGCACTGATTTACACTCCCACCAACAGTGGACAAGTTTCCCCTATTTCCACATTCTTGCCACATTTATTATTGCCTGCCTTTTGATAAAACCCATTTTAACCGGGATGAAATAATACCTCATTGTAATTTTGATTCGTGTTTCTCTGATGTCTAATAATGCTGAACATTTTTTTATGTACCTGCTGGCTATTTCTATGTCTTCTTTCGAAAAATGTCTATTTAGATCCTCTGCCCATTATTTGAATTATTTGGATTTTTCCTATCAAATTATTAAAGCTCCTTACTCATTTGAGTTATTAACCCTTGTCAGATGGGTAGTTTGCAAATACAGTAGAGTCTCCGTAGTTAACCCCCTCCTTATATCAACTCCCTCCTTAGTTGACCTAATTTTCAACTTACCAGACTTGCACCACATGGAGGCCTCGACTCTATGTTGGCCCATCTGCTCCAGCTCCTGGGCAGTCGCCTTGCAGAGGGTCCACTGCGCTGTATGCTCTCCCATTCTATGAGCCGTCTCTCCACTGTGCTGATTGCCTCCTTTGTGGTGCAGAAGCTTTTTACCTTGCTGTGACCCTATGTCCAGTTTTGCTTTGGTGGCCTGTGCTTTGTGGATATTACCCAAGAAGATTCTTGGCCAGAGCGATGTCCTAAAGTGTTTCTCCAATGTTTTCTTTTAGTGGTTTCATAGTTTCAGGTCTTAAATTTCAGTCTTTAATCCATTTTAATTTGATTTTTATATGTGATGAGAGATAAGGGTCTGGTTTCATTCTTCTGCATATGAATATGCAGTTTTCCCAGCACCAGTTATTAAAGAGACTGTGCTTTCCCACTGAATATTCTTGGCAACTTTATCAAAGATAAGTTTAGTATAAACGTGGGTTTATTTCTGGGTTCTCTGTTCTGTCCCACAGTCTATATGTCTGTCTTCATGCCAGTGCCATGCTGTTGTGGGTGCTCTAACTGCAGTGGAATTTGATTCCCCCAGTCTTGCTGTTTGTGCTCAGGATGGCTTTGGCTATTCTGAGGGAAGTACCCCTGACACAGTGTGAATGTGCCTGGGGCCCAGCAGCGGGTGGTGGGCACTGTCAGACTCAGTTGTGCAGGCTAAATCTTTTATAGCTGCTAAAAGTCCTTATTAAGCATTTAAAGTTTTTTAAAGCAGAAAGTGCTCCTTGAACATCTGGACCCATCACTAATGCGCTGAGTAGTGGGAAGTACAGTGAGATGGCACTGCTCAAAGGCTGGCTTCCCCTGTGGACAGATAATGATCATTCAGATGGTGGATATTGCAGCCATTGCAGCTATAGGACCCAGACTCAGCAGGTGCAACCTATGCGGCAAGGCCTGCCAGTGTCTGCAGTGTCACAGGGCCCAGAACAGGCCTGGGAACAGCCTCACAGACACACCAGCGAGGAACCTCCTGCCCACAGAGAGGGCTTATTTCTAGGTGTGAGTTTGCAGCTTGGATGCTTGTTACTTGGCAATTAATGCACCAGTCACCATCAGCAGTGAATCTGCTCCAGCCTCTCTGCAGACAGCTCTGGGGTGGTTCACACCTCGAGGTTTGTCTGTGACTTTATAGATGAGAGAAGATATGGAGGGGGTGGGGGGTGTATCCATGAACCACAGAGGTTTCCAATCCCACCCCCCCCACAGAAGACTGGATGGAGCCCAACTGTGGAACACAGTTATAGCGTCCTGACCCCCAGAACCTCAGGATGTGACCGTATTTGTAGAGAAAACCTTTGAAGAAGTGATTATGTTCAAATGAGGTCATCAGGGTGGGTCCTGATCCAGCATGACTGGTGACCTTGTGAGAAGAGGAGCTGAGGACACGTGAGGCCGACCCCAGGCAGACACGGACCAGATGCTGAGGATACAGGCACACGTGAGGCCGACCCCGGGCAGACACGGACCAGATGCTGAGGATACAGGCACACGTGAGGGCCGACCCCGGGCAGACACGGACCAGATGCTGAGGATACAG